TTGCCACACTTCTGCAATAAAGCCGTCAGCGCGATCGGCTGTGTCTACACTGAGTGTCACTGGTTCAGCACGCCTGCCCGGGCCGGGGAGAGTCAGCACCAGGGCACGCGCGAGTGCCGCTGGAGCCACACCCTCCCTAGTTTTGGTTTCAATCTACCCCCTCAGGAATCTGAGGCAGAGTCGGCCAGGAAGGCCCCACCTCCCATATCCAGCTGCGTCCTGGAAGGTGCCTATGGGCAGTGCAGCTGACACCTGGCCACCTGTCCTCCAGCCCCATCCACCCCACAGAGGGCACCGTGTTCTCAACTGCTCAGGTCAAAAAAAGACTCCCCCCTCCCAAGGCAAACCACCCCTCCTGGCCACCCCTTTCCCTGCCTAGCTAGGCCTCGTCTCTTCCCTGCGACTATGCAGTAGGCTCCCGACCAGAAGCCTGCAGTGTCCTCAGCCCAGCCCCGCTCCCACATGGCCCCTGCACTGCCTCCTTGGAAGACAAGTCTGTGGGTTGGGAAGGTGATTCTGGACATGTCAGGAAATGTCAAAACCATAAAGAAAAAGGCCAGGAGATAAGATTAAAGAAAATCCAAATTTCCTATCCTCCAAAACACAAAACAAAACATGACCAAGATTGAAACACAAATACCAAATGCGACGAGTACACCAACACTGGGTCAACATTTGTGCCACACCAAGAGCTCTTTCAGATGGAAGATACACGTGCCCTCATGGGAACTTGGCACTGCGTGAGCACGTGCAGCAGCCCACAAATGGCCAGCCATGGGAGATGCGGCCTCATTAGTGACGGGGATGGGCCCCGCACTCAGGCCACGGCATCCCACACCGCCTCTCAGACTGGCGAGGGTGGAAAGTCTCCAGGCTGACAAGGGAATGAGAAACACGCATGCCCCATGCTAAAACGGAAGTACACATTGACTCAATGTTTTTGAAGAATAATTTGGTGACATATATCAAAATTTAAAACACACTTAGATCCGTGTACCCAGCAATCATTCTTACTAATGACCACACAATACCCCACACGAGAGCTTTTTCTGGCAAAGTTGCAGTTAGGGAGAGACTGAGGTTTATTGAAGCCTACTATGTGCTTAGAATTGGACTTTTTAATGACACCTTCACAGCAGCTCTGTGAAGGAGGGATGCTTATTCTCACCTCATAGAGGAAGAGAAACTGAGGCTTCAGTCTGCTGGCAAGAGTGCCCCAGCAGAGTGACTCCAGGGGGCTGAGTGTCTGGCACTGGGTAGTTCTCAACTCCCTTTTCCCAACCCCTGGTCAGCTGCTGGGATCACAGTGGAATCTGGATGCGACCTGATGGGAATATTTCAGCCTTGCCCAGACCTAGCTGTCCTCTCTGCACATCTGGAGTGGAGTGTGTGACGCTGGAACAGGGCAAAGGAAAGCAGGCCCCACCTTACTGGGTGCTGGTTTATGTCCCAGCCGCAGGACAGGGAGCTTGGAGGATAATGCTACACAACGCAGAGTGGCCGTGCTCCACGCCAGCCAGATCCCACCGGAGCAGGCTGTGGCACCAGCTGCTTCTCCCACCCCACTCCAACCAAACCTAGGTCTTGCTCAAACCCCACCCACACCCAGACTATAAGGCAGGAGAGGAAGGAATAAGCCCATCCACGGCATGGAACCTATCTGCTTGGAGTAAAGTGGGAGCAGGAGGCAACTCACTGAACCAGGGGCATGGAAGGAAAGCAGAGGCGGGGGGCAGTGCCTAGGCATCTCGAGTCCCGGTGACCAGTGAGCTGCTCCGCCTGCAGCAACCACAGCCATGTGGCATCTGGAGTCTGGTCATCCTCTTCTCCCAGCCCAGCCAGTGACCCCTGTAGGCCCACGGTATGAGAGTCTGTTTAATATTGAGTTCTCCATGGGGCTGCAGCTGCAGACCCAGAAGGAAGTCGAGGAAGTCCAGACTTCCTCCTGCCCCAGCCAAACTCTCATGGCCCAGTTTTGGACAACACCTTGGTTCTGGAGGGCTAGCCTCAAAGGGCAAGAAAGCACTAATGTTCCCTAAACAAGTGACATGGAACAGGGCCCCTCAGCCGAGTCTTGCCAATTTGAGCAAGAATGAAAGAGAAACCTTTGAATTACTGAAAGCAACTGTAATGGGAGTCTTTGGTGCTCAGAATCCTCAGATGCTCTTTGGGAGTTCAGGGTCCCCCCTGATCTCCAAAACTACCTCCTTTATCTCATCGTCTGCCAAGACTCTGGTGGTAGCAAAAGAAACCCAGACAACTAGATTCAACAAAAAGGGGCACATCTTGAGCACAACAAGATGTTTAAAAGGCACTCATCCTGCCTCAGTTTTACCTGAGTCTAAAAGCTAAGGGCAAAGATGAAAGCTGTCAAGTATCCCGTATTCAAGAGCAAGCTGCAAGACTGTCCCTGCAAAGGGCATGGCCCCAAACTGGCCCACAGCAGTAGCTAATGGCCCACCTGCATTAAGAATAGTAGGAAAAAGTCCCCGGGAAAGGGGAGCACCTCCCCCCACACACGGAAGGTGGGTTTCCCTTCACCCTAAATAGAGTGAAAGGGGCTTCCAGAGCCCTCCAGGAGCTTGGCCTGGGTGAGCACAAGCAGTACTGTCAGGGAGAGCTGGGCTGCTCTGGGGCTAGGGGCTGCCTGGCTGAAGGAGGTGGGGAGCAGGGCCAGAGGAGGGTGAGCAGTCAGCTGGGGGAGGTGCCTGGCTCCACCCAGGGAGCTGAGCCTGGAGCCCAGAGAGAAATCCTGGAGCAGCAGCAACAAAGGCAGGAAGGAAGATCTCCCGGTTTGGCATGTGGCAGCCCCATGGGGCACAGTGCTGAATCCCTGTCCCTCCCAAGGGCCCCAAATCTCAGGGGGCAGGTGGAGGAGGCAACAGCCCTGGCAGGGTCTAGTGAAGAAGCTGCCCCCTGCCTCCCTGGTCCAGGCCTCCGGACTTGCAATGACCACACTGAACTTCTGGAATGAAGGGACCGTTGGAATGGGCTGGGCTTCTTCATGTCGATGCCAGGAAGACCGGGGGCCTGTTGGGCTGTCAGCATCAACTGGGAAGAGTAGGCTGGAAAGGACCCTGGGGAAAACTAAGGTTTGGTTCCTTATACCTGGATTGAGTCCAGCTCACTTACCATGCTGGTTACATAAGGACAGCGGTATCCCCCCAGCCACGGGCAGCATGCAGCTGGGCCTCGCGAGGGCCAGGAACCAGGAACTGCCTGGAAAGCCTTGGAGAGGCAAGGCCACAGCATTCTCTGCAGCTCTCCCTCTCCTCCCTGTGGGGCTTCCGTTCCACACTGCGCTTCCAGCTGCAGACTGCTCTGGCTGCTCGTCCCGGCACATGGCACCAGAC